CCATGTGGCTAAACATAGATAAAAATTATGGGTTAATTTAAGTGTAAGAGCTATTCAGAAATAAGCCTGAGCTAATGGCCAAGCAGTTATATTTAATACAAGCTTCTAAGTGATTATTTTATAAGCGGGCCACAGGACTGCGGGGGTATGGCAGGACTGGAGAAACTTTCTGACTACACAAAGACATTGTCATAAGCGACCAACAGCTCCCTGACATATCAGTCCTGAGGATAAAGGAGAGGACAGAGTGACCACAGGAAATTCCAAACATGCCACATTAATTGATTTCAAAACCACACCAGCTTCCAAACAGAGCCATGGGGAGGAGAGGACTACTGTTGGCTTGAGTGGGAAGCTTTTCAACTGCTGAGTCCAGAGTATATGCTAAGCCTCCTAGTCTCCATTAGAGCACCCCAGGAACGCCTATGATATGAGATAAGGCAAGATAAGGTCTCTCTTTTTATTCATTTTTCTGAAGGTGGTGGGGCTGGGAATGGAGCACAGAGCCTCACTCTACCACAGAGCCATTTCCCAGCCCTATAATCCCTTCAAAACAGACTGAAGATGTAGGAACTGACCCACAGTCCCAGTGTCACCAAGGGAAAGCCAGAGACAGACCAAGGTCAGCAGATGCTGGGACTCATGCAGCCTCTACTGTGCCTCATGCTGCGGCACCTGGCTAGGGTCATCTCCTCAAAGTCCAAGCTGGTACATGACCTCTTGGTCAAGAGAATGTGTGATTAACCCTTTGGACTCCAAAACCATCTCTGTTACATTCCAGCTTTCACCGCCATGAGGTCTTGGGCCAGCCAAACCATCTTCCCGCTCCTCAGTCCTTTCTCACTTACACACTAAAGTACAGCCAGAGAATGGATCAGATCCTTTCCAGCACCTATGGCTTGGAAGATTTCTCTCGCTCTCCCACAGACAGACCTTCCATACCCACTAATGTTTATAGAAAGAGGCACAGATTGACTCAAGTTCAGTGACAACCTAATCCACTGTGGGGATGGGTCAGACAGTACCAGCCTGGCTCCCAGAGGCTCAGCATTATGGGTGAAGGGCAGGGAGGGGGCACACTGTGAAGGCCTCCAGGCCACTCAGGCAGGTAAAGACTTACCAAGCCAGCTTTTCTGGCCCTCACTCAGCTATAGGAGCCGAGCTCTGCCTGTCTGTCTACCCCTTTCCTCCTTTGCTCAAGGAAACAGAGTTGGCCTTTTCCCTCCTCCTCTCCCATCCTTCCAAATCTTCCTACCCAGCAGAAGTCACAGCTACACAAGGGACTGTTGTGTAAGAGCAGAGGGACAGAGTCAGGGCAGCTTTGCTAGCTGAGAGTAAGCCTTTCCTGAAAGCTGGAGCTGGGGATCAGAAGTCACTGAGGACAAAACCGTGCTCTGTGCCAACCCACAGTGCGCAAGCCCGGGTGCAGGAATCTGCTGACAGTGGCTTCTGCCTGGGGACAAAGCTGCACTATCACAGGTACAGGGGACGGGGAGACGTAGTCTTGGTCCTCTGCCCTGCCCAGCAGAGGTACTGCAAGGCCCACCTGCATTGCCAGAGCGGCGAAGCTCCACCTCCTGCCTCCTCCAGAGCATCCCAGCATAGAGGCTGCAGGAGCCCCATGCAGAAGCCTGCAGCAGCTGGGAGCTTCTCCAGGACACAGCCTAGTCTGGGCAAGGGAAAAAAGGTTTGGAGGAGAAGAGGGAGAGGAAGATAGGACTGGCTGGAGTCAAGGAGAGAGGCTGAACCCATAGTTGATGGCCAGCTGGGGGTGGAAGTGTAGGGGGAAATCATGGTTTCTGGGTATGCCTTCCTCTCTCTGGTGGAATTCCCATCAACCAGGAGACTCCCGGTTACGGTGTCTCCAACCCGACGCAGTAGCTTCACGGGAAGGACTCAGGTGAACTGTGGGGCTTTTGAGGAGGTGGGTAGTGGACACAGGCATGAGGAACACCCTTGCAGTGGGTATGAGCTGGGGATGGGTGGCTGTGGAGGAGAGAGGAGAACACAGTGGTGAGGCTGCTACAGTTCAGACAGGACTCCCCGGACTGGTGAGGTACCAGGATTTCTACAGAATACCAGAAGGGAAGGGACTTAGCCTGAGTCCAAGATCTGTTGTCAGACCACTGGGGGCGTCACGCTGTGGGCTGCCCAGGCCGCCCCTCGGTGCAGATCCTTAACTGTGATGTGGGGTAGGGTATGGGAGGCAGCACAGCTGCTGGTCCTGGGGGCCTCTCTGAGGACCAGGGGTGGCGGCCGGGGCAGGAGAGGCAGTGGGTGGAAGCTATGGTTGTTTCACCCTGGACTAGTCTTAGGGGAAGGAGACTCCCACTTTCATAAGGGCTGAGGTTGTAGCTCAATGATAGAGTGCTTGCCCAGCATGCTTTGGGGCCCTGGGTTTAATCTTCATCACTGCAAATAAATATAGACACAGACAAATGGATGGATGAATATTGCCTGGCATGGTTGACTGTGACATAGGTGAAGAACAAGTGATGTGTCATTTTGGGCAACCCTGTCTACCTCTCCTAGCCCAGGGCAATCGTCATATTGCCTGCTCTGCTGGTCCTCATAGATTGTTATGGTAGCTAATGGTTAAAATATATATATATACATGAAGTGTCATTCAGTGTAAAGGAGTGACGCTGTCACCATCAAAATTTCTCAGGCTGGCAGTCCTGGATTCTAGATTCTCATCCAAGTCTCTTGAGATGTTTTTTTTAAATCCCGTACCCAGGCATCAGTCTGGGTCAGTTATGTAAACCCAGGTTGGTAGACAGCCAAAGGGCAGGATGGGAGCCTGATGCTCGGTGAGGGTGGAGACCTACTTTCTGGGGCCTTCCCACTCCTCTGAGGTCTTGGTGCTGCTGCTGGCATTGCCTGTGAGCTGGCAGTACCTCAGATCTCTCCAGAGCTGCTGTGTCCTCACGGTTTCCATCTGCAGAGTCACCCAAGTCCCCATCACAAATACCTGGGGGTAAAATACGTCTGACCAGACTTTTTCTTATCATCATTCTCCAAACAAAACTGAACATTGACACGGTGCCATACTGTAAATTATCTAGGGATGGTTTACAAAAAAACATTGCCAGAGTATCCATGGATGTTGATATCTGTAAAGGTCTAAAAACAAATCCTCCTCAGATTCCAAGAGCCTAACGCATTCCGCAAGTAATAGAAGCGGTAGGGACATGTCATCTCAGGGAAGGTCTGCAGAACCTCCTGCTGGGGGGAAGACTCACACCTTTATTGGCACCTACAGCTTTGTGCTCTGGGGGTGGGATTACTCTGGTCATCCAATCCTGTTCTTTCTGCTCCACCGGAGTGACAACTGCCCAGGCAAAGAATGAGTTCAGTTTAAGACAGGGAATGCAAATGAATTTTGGTAGCTAACAGCACCCATGAGCCTTCATTCAGTGTCTGTCTGCCTCCATTTCCCCAGTAGTCCCAGCATTCCATCAACAGCTTGTTTGGGGATGCTCACATCACACTCTCTCTGAGGGCTCTGCTCCACTCATGGGAGTATACACACACACACACACACACACACACACCTCATCAAACACAGCAATGAGAAAATGGAGAACACAAAAGCCTATGAGTTCCTATTGGCAATTGTGTCCCAGAGGCTACTCAGTTCAATTCTTCCATCTCACGGGGTGATATGAGCTTAGCAACTGAAAGGGACTCCAGTGGCCGACAATCTAAGTCAAAATGCCACCCCCTTACTTCCCAGCATGAAATAGGTGAACGGTGGGCATCTGGGCAGATAAGGTGGGGGTGTGCACAACATACGGCATTTGCTCATTTATTCTAGATGGGAAAAGCTGGAGCCTAGAAAATGACTATGTCTACTCTAACTGCTTGACCCTGGGGAGCCTAAGGGAAGAGTTTTATATGGGAGCAAATATCTGTACTGTGTTGTCCAGGTCAGCATTTTTTTTTCCTACTGTCACCGAGAGCTTGGGTAAGATGAGTTATTTTTATTTTATTCGTACTGTATTTTTAAAGACTTTTTAAAACTATTTTTTAAATTATGGGCAGGTGTGTAGGTTCTGCATGTCGGTATGTGCACATGAGCACAGGTGCCTGCAGAATTAAAGGTACTGGATTCCCTGGAGCTGGAGTTACAAATGCTTGTGAGCTGCCTGATGTGGTTCTAGAAACCAGACTTGAGTCCTCTGGAAGAGTAGCAAGTGCTTTTTACTGCTGAGCCAGGTCTCCAGCCCCTCTATTGTATTTTTTTTTTTTTAGTAAATTGATTAGTTTTCTTTTTTTGTTTGCCTATTTGTTAATGATATGTCTCAATTAGCCCAGGCTAGTCCTGAATTCCCTATGTAGTCAAGGATGATCTTGAACTCCTGATCTTCCTGCCCCTACCTCCCAGGTGCTGTGATTACAGGTGTTGTGCCCACCATATCTGGATTAAGATGCCTTATAAATAATATGCTGTATGACTTCTGCAGTAAAACAGATGAAGGGCCAGCAGGTCTAGAAGAAAAGCACAAGGAAATTCCACCTCACTGTGTTGCTTGTGGGACTCTGGAACTATTTTTTTTCTCCCTTATACTTTTTCCACAGGCTCCCAAGGTGCCCACCCCAACCATGGCAAGCCTCTGGAGAGCCATCCTCTGAACGGATAAGAGTCTGAGGGAGCCACTGGGCGAGGACCAGAGCCTTCCTGACGAAGTCCTTACAGGCCCACCACCCAACCCCAGGGACAGAAGGGAGAACCCTGCCAAAATGTGATAGCTGGGAACCCAAAAAGGGGGAGGACACATTTTTGGGGGGGGGTGAGCCTAGCCCTTAATGGACGAGCCATCTCTCCAGCCCTCCCTTACACTTTCTGAATTTCATTGATTTACATGAGTAAAGATGCTACTTTTAGAGTCAAAACTCAAAACGTTTGTTTCTGGCAACATATTCCAGGTCAAACAGCAATTTAGAAGCCCACTGTGCTGGTTAGTCTTAACTGTCAACTTAACAAAATCTAAAGTCACCTGGGAAGAGAGTCTTAATGAGGAATTTCCTGCATCAGTTTGGCTCGTAGGCATGTATGTGAAGAATGTCTTCATCTTAATTAGGAATTATTTGGATCAGGTTGGCCTGTAGGCATGTATGTGGGAGAATGTCTTGATTGTTGATTGATGTATAAAGACTCAGTCCATTGTGGGCAGCACCATTCCCTAGGCAAGGGATCCTGAAGCATAAGAGGGAGGAAAAGACTAGCTGAACAGTAGGCATGCATGCATTCCTTTATCTCTGTTCTTGACTGGGCATGTGATATAACCAGTTGTCTTAAGCAACTGCTGCCTTGATTTCCCTCCAATAATGGACTGTAACATGGAATCATGAGCTAAAATCACCCTTTCCTCCCCTAGGTTGTTTTTGGTGGGGTATTTTATCACAGCAACAGAAATGAAATGAGGACAGCCACCCAAGTGTTCTACCCTGTAGGGTCCTACTCCTGTAAGCCGAATGGGCAAAGGAACCAAGGATGATGAGTGAAGACCAAAGAGTGGCAGGACAAAGTAGAACAGGGTCCAACCTGAAGCATCCTGAGCAAAGTTGCTTTCTACCCTAGGGCCACTGCATGGCACACAACACAATGCCTGTCTTGCCTGAGGGGGTGCTCTTGCAGGAATAGAGAGCCAGCTCTGACTTTGTTTAAGGATACCAGAGTGCTGGACCACTCACACCCACCCACACCCACCCCCCAGCCATGGGCTCCTTTCCAAAAGCCTGAGATGCTGCTTAGCATCCGGCTGGTTTGCATCCCCTGCTTCTCCTTAATATAGAAGAGCCTTTCCATGCCCAACGTTTTTCCAATCACAATGCCAAGGTGTGTGACACAGCCAAAAAGCAACGAGTGTTTATTTTGCAATGTCAAAATAGAAAGAAGGATCTGGAAACACTTAATAACTAAGATAGACCTCATCTAAGAAAAAGAGAAAGGAAATAAAGAAGAGAGGGAAGAAGGGAGAAGGGGCGGAGGGGAGAGGAGAGGAAAGGGAGGAGAGAGGGAGGGAGAAAAGTAGGTTTATCAAACCAGATACTAGATAAAATTACTACGACTCTCTTCAAACTGTTCTATATAACCTGCTTGGTATATTTTCCCATGGTGTGCTCTGCTCTCTGTGTATAAAATAGGAAGCTGAAGGCGGGCGGTGGTGGCGCACGCCTTTAATCCCAGCACTCGGGAGGCAGAGCCAGGCGGATCTCTGTGAGTTCGAGGCCAGCCTGGTCTCCAAAGCGAGTTCCAGGAAAGGCGCAAAGCTACACAGAGAAACCCTGTCTCGAAAAACCAAAAAAAAAAAAATAGGAAGCTGAAATATGCATATAAGCTCTGAAAGGCAATCACACTCTATGACGTTGAAATTGCAGCAAGCTCATCTCTTTTCCTCAAAGAGCACTCCAGTGACAACTGCTTAGCAACCATGCCTGCCGGGTGTAGAAGGAGGCAGCTGCGCCTTCAATGAAGGTGCTTGAGCGGCCACAGAATTTTCAAGCAGAAATTAAATTGTCCAATCCAACTGCTTCACATCACAGGTCAAGACCTGGGCCAGAGGGTAAGGTTCATGGCCAGTAATTTCTAGATGAACAGCAAGGGACTTCCTGAAGGTCACATAAGAAAATCTGGGATGACGTTAGATTCCCATCTGCTCTGACTGTCTCTGGATTTAAGGATGAGAGTAAGTAAATATCAGAAACTTTCTTAAGGTTCAGGGAGTTCAGAAAAGGAGCAATTACCATAGCTCCAACAGGCAAGAGCTGCTACTTCCTCTCCCCTTTTGCTTCAATATGGAAGGGGAACTGCACCAGATACCTTTAAGAGGGTTGATACACAACCACAAAACGGTCCATGAGAAAAACCAATGGCTAGTGTCCCCATGGACTGAAACACACTAGAAGGAGCTTCCAATCTCCGAAGTTTTTCAATAGATTGCTTGGATTATGCTTTTCTGTGAGTTGCAAATAAATTACCTCTAAAGACAATAAGAGATTGGAGATGCTGCAGCACAAAGTAATTTGAAAAACACAAGATGAAAGAATTAAGATGGGTTTAATTGCTACAAGGCTTCTCAGAGCATTTCATCTGTGTTTATATGTATTGTGTACCTACAAGGTAGTGTTTCTGAAACCAATGCCCGGAGGTGCTTTTCCCGTGGAATGTCGTGTAAGATGGCATGTTCTGCACAGTTGGCTTACTCCAAGATGGGTTGTTCTAGGTCAGGTGTTTGGCTGAGCATCCATCTGAGGAAAGGGCCAAACAGGAGGGAAGAAATTTAAGGTACAAGGACGTGACATACGACTGAGACATGAGGTGAACAGCATAGACCATGAAGCTCAGACACAAACTGCTTCAAGAAATTGACACTCAAGTGATGTTTTCTGTGAGTTTTCAGAAGTGGACTGGCATCATTAGAAACATCATTAGAGCAGAGCAGAGCAGTGGATCCCAAGACTTTTAAATTCCTAGTCTCCTCTTCTTTCCCCCTCCCTTCCCATCCCTTCCTTTCTCCCTCTTCCTCTTCTTTCTTCTCCTTCATCCCCCACTTCTTGCTCTCCTACAGCCCCTGTATTGAACCTGGTGCCTCTTGCATGAGAAGTGAGAGGTGTACAAATGAGCTACAACCTCAGCCCTCTTGATACCTTTTGAGGCCAGGGACCTTTAAGGAGCCCAGGCTAGCCATAAACTCACTCTGTAGCCCAGGTAGGCTTTGAATTTTCAATCTTTCTCTCTTGGCCTCTTAAGTAGCTATAATTGTAGGCTTGTGCCATCATGTGTGGTTAGTAGTCTCTTCCTGCCTGACTATTCCATGTCATTTTGCCTTATTCTCTCTAGGTTGTTAAGTGAGTTCAGCTGACTTACTTGCAAATTGAAGATGGTCCTGGAAGGCTGTACAAAGAGCAAATGCTTTATCTATAAATCAAGTCATAGTTTCCACTGACTTGTAATCCCAAAGAAGAATGCTGACCTCACACACATCATCAAAGGTACATTCAGGAGCCTGCTGGGTGCTACAGGCAGCACCGTACCTCTACCTGTACCCTCAGACAACCTTTTCCATTCATTCTCCCCAACAAGAGCAGCCCAGATGTTAGACAAGGGACGCACTGATTCATGCGAGCTGTCCACACTCAGCTAGTTCCCAATTCTGTAGGAGGTGTTCTCTGACCTTGAGGCCCTGTCATTCACGCTCTTCCCTTTAGGAACTTATCTGAGTCCTTGGCATTTTGAGCATGGAAGCCATTTTCTCTAAAGGATGTTAAAGCCTCTTTACATAACATTTACTTGTTAGAATCAAGTGTTTGATGACTGCAGAACTAGCCCATGGTCACTTAGATGAGAACATGAAAACGTACAAAGTACTACAATCTCTCTCTCTCTCTCTCTCTCTCTCTCTCTCTCTCTCTCTCTCTCTCTCTCTCTCCCTTTCCCTCTCTCCTTTCTCTCACTCTGTGTGTGTGTGTGTGTGTGTGTGTGTGTGTGTGTGTGTGTGAGAGAGAGAGAGAGAGAGAGAGAGAGAGAGAGAGAGAGAGAGAGAGAGGAAGGGAGGGAGGGAGAGAGAATACATGTTACCGAATGCTTATGGCATGACTATCTTCCTGTGTGCCAGACAGGACCTGGGTTAACAATATCTCCCATAACTCTACAAGAGACTTCTATTCATCACTCAGTTTCACAGAAGAGACAAACTCAGAGAGGCACCTAACTCTCCCAAAGTCACACAGCTCACAGGATGTAGGTGGCAGTGCCAACACTGACTTGCTCCAAAGTATGCCAACTTTATCCTCTTCCTGCATTATCAGAAGGCATTAGCATCAGGACAACATCCTCACCCAGCATGGCCCCGGGTGGGAAATGTCATGCTGCTATCTTCAAATTGTCACCTTGGGAGTCTAAATGCAGTTAGGACTCTTTCTCAGAGTTCCCACTCTGAAACATAAATTTCAAAAAAAAATGCCCCCTTGTTTCTCCAATGGGAGAAAAGAATCTAGGATCTGTTTGGCCATAGCCAGCATTTCCCTTGGTTCCAGTGGAGGGGGAGTACGGATTGCAAATATAATGGCTAGCTCTGCCTCACAGTTCTATTGACTGCGTGCTGTTTTGCAAGTTTGCCTACCCTGGGTAAATTTTTAAATTTTCTGTTGACTCATTTTCAGTAAAACTTAGTTCCAATAGGAAAATGATTTTATTCTACACCAACAGTTTTACAGACACACACACACACACACACACACACACACACACACACACACACACACACACACACACACACCTTGTCCTGGGATGCTTCCTAATACTGTGATAAACACCATGACCAAAATCAACCTGGGGAGGAAAGGGTTTATTTCACCTTACACCTTATAGTCCATTGTGAGGGGAAGTCAGGGCAGGAGCCTGAGGGAGAGCTGAAGGGAGGAACTGGAGCACAAGGCATGAAGGCGTGCTGCTTACAGGCTTGCTCCCAGAGCTCACTCAGCCTGCTTTCTTTCTTTTTTTTTTAAGAAATTTTCTACTCGTTTTACATACCAACCACAGATACCCCCTCGTCCCTCATCCCGCCCCCCAGCCTGCTTTCTTATGCAACCCAGGACCACTTGCCCAGGGATGGTACTGCCACTAATAAGCTGGGCCCTCCCACATCAACTGTCAATCAAGACTTGCGTACAAGCCAATCTGATGGAGGCATTTTCCCAATTGAGGTTCCACTTTCCCAGACTTTAGCTTCTGTCAAGTTGACAAAAATCAACCAGCACACACCTCCTGGGGAAAACTAGGCATACACGCACTGAGTGAAGAAGACCTGTGGTGGGTTTTCTTTTGTACCAGCCTGATGTAACATCTTCTGCACTACTGGAGGGGGCAAATATTTGGAAGAGAGGGAAAGTAGAGGCCGTTAGCTTCTGGCTTTCAGGGCTGAAAGACATCCCTGAGGAGAGATGACTTATGAGAAGTCTGTTCCTCTCAGAACCCTAAGGTTTTAGCACTGACTGACTCTGGCCTCAACTGTCCTTTTGAGTTCCAGACTTGAATTGTTTTAATGAAAGGATAGGTAAAGCTGGGAGGTGAGGCGAGATCTTACCTCCCTCCTGAGGCACTGACACTGGGACAGTTACAACCCTGCACCCATTTCACTTCTTACCATCGGGAGATTAATGAAAGCTCAGATGGGTTGCATTTGCATCATTGAGAGGAGTCCAAAGAAGGAAAAAATGGTTTGACTCACGGTTTCAGAAGGCTCACTCCATGTCTCCTCAACCTCACACACTTGGACAGAAAGAATTGTGTAGCCCAGGAATTGTTTTACCTCTTGGTAAACAGGAAGTAGCCTGAGAGAATGGAACTGGGGTTGGGATATACCTTGTAACACAGGTATTACAACACAAGCATTATAACACTCTACTATCATAGACAAATATGCTATCAAACACATCCCCTGAGTGACCTACTTTCTGCACCCGGGACCCACCTCCTCAAGTTCACACTACCTGCTGAAGACCAAGCATACCATACAGGAGTATATAGGCCATTTCCTATTCAAGCCACAACATGGTGGAAGTCCACTGAGAACATCCTAGGCAGAGAGGCAAGTGGGAAGCCAGGGATTAACATGGCATCACACTGAGACCAGGACAGATGGGTACCAAGGAAATCCACACACTCTCACTTCTGGGCCCCTGTTCTTAAGTCCTGTCTATCCTGGCCAGCAGGAATGGAGCAGTGGTGTCTCATTCCCTGACTTCGTGCAAGTGAAAGGCAATGCTCCAAGTTGAAATGGACAAGCACTGGTTCTTCTTGTTGTTTTGTTTTGTTTTCATCTGTACTATAGTTTGACGTTTGTATCTTTGTTGTTTTTTATGGGTGTGAGTGTGTGTGTGTGTGTGTGTGTGTGTGTGTGTGTGTGTGTGTGTGTACCAGAGGTTAATGCCAGGTGCTTTTCTCACTGACTATTCACCTCATTTTTTTGATACAAACCCTGGAGCTTCGCTGATTCCCCCAGGACAGCAAGTCTGCAAGCCCCAAGGATGCTCTTATCTCCGTCCCCAGAGCAGGGATTCCAGGATCCACTGCTGGACTGGATCCTTTCTAATGTAAGTGCTGGGGACAGCATTCAGGTTCTCACACGTAAGTAGGAAGAAGCACTTCACCTGCTGAGGTATCTCCCCAGGCAGCTCTTGGCTTGGTTTGTTTGTTTGTCTGCTTTGTTTTGCTTTGGTTTTGAGGCAAGGTCTTATGCCGCAAAGGCTGAGCTTAAATTCATACATAGCTGAGGACAGCTTTGTATCTCTTGGTCCTCCTGCCTGTACTTCCCAGGTGCTGGGACTGAAGGTATGTTGCCATGACATCCAGCTGTTTTAGTCTGCATCTTAATGCTCTCCAAAGACTGCCTGCTAAAGCCTCAACTCTGGTGCTATTGGAAAGTAGTGACAACTTTTAAGAGGTCGTCAGGACTCTCATCTCCTCCCAGGTAGTTAGAAAGCAGAGCATGGGACCTACCAGGCCAGACATCTTGCCTTTCAAAAGAAAGAAACCAAAGCTCCAGACCTATGTGTGGAGCACTGTTTCTTAACATTATGTCACATTTAGCCCCCAAATCAAAAGTGACAACTTAGGACCACTTATAAAGAGTAGCCTGCGGGATAGACACCCTGCCGTGGCTCTTTGGAATTTCTGCAGATGCATGACACCGAGCACCCGAAAGTACACATGGGGAAAGGGAATGAATAAGTGGATAAATTTAACACACACCCACATTCAGGGGAATGTGCTGGGATCCTACTGGTACACACAGGTATGCTCATGGTAAACATACTGTCTGCCACAAAGCACAGACAGCAGCCTTCTGTAGGTAGCTCTAGTCTCCCTCTTCTCAGGCCTTCCTTTTTTTTTTTTCTTCTCAGCAAAGCTAAATTACCTTAAAGCAGCTCAGAGCCTGTCTGATTTATGGTTCAGCCTCCACAGCTTCTGGAAGCTTTGTTTTGCTTGACCCCCAGTCCTGTGATTTATACAAGAGATCTGTAACTCCACAAGAACGCCCCCCTCCTTCTTCCCGCACCCAGAACAACAGAGTCCAGGGAAGAGACTTGAAGCTGCTTAGCTGGTTTCTGGCTCCCATGGAACTCCTGGATAAGATGCCAACTTTCTGCATCCCCTCCTTCATCCCCCAAACACAGATGTTTCTCGCGAGCTCTTATTTTCCTCATTTCCAATCTCTGACCATTTCCCTACTCTAGTCACTTAATTT